GTGGAGAGACCAGCCAGGCCTGCATCTCCACTGGAGTAGTATTTTGTTTATCAAGATAAACTGACTGGAGTGAGATGATGCTTAGCTGCATAAACCTCACTTAAAAAGAGTTTCTCTGAAGCCTGCTTGAGTTTTGGAAGCGAGGGTATTTTTTTGAGGATTCCTTGATGCCTGCTGGCCCTCAGAGGTTAGATGGTATTGCCTGCGCACAGCAGAGCTGCAGTCTGTGATCTCGGCACGTGACCTGTGAGGAGCCCTTTGCACCAAACTGGCCATTCCCGGATTCCTGGTGTGGCGACACTGCAGCCTGTGTGGATTTTCAGGCTTCCCGCTCCTCCTGGGAAGTATTGGAGTGTCTGTACCTGCTGCCTCACCGGCTTCTCCGCACCCTGATAGCTCCTTGGCTCTGAAAGCAGCACCACATGTATCTACCAAGGGTGCAAAGTGTTAGGTGTTTTGGGGATGAACCACGCAGTTTATTCTCATTCATTCTTCCTGCAAAATCCTTTGTGCACACATAGAAGTCTGAGATTTGGTGCAAGTTCATTTTCAATAAGATCCGCTTTTTATTTTGGGAAGGTACTTGACAGCAGGTTTTGACACTAATATTTGCAGAATAGAGAACCTTTCATGGCATATTTTAAAGCAAATCAATAACTTTTTAAAACACAGAAGTTCTGAATTATTTTTGTTGCCCTAAATATCTGTCTAAAAACTTTATTTTCTCTTTTCAGGCAGCTATAAATGGTGTAATACCACAAGAAAATGGCATTCTGCAAAGGTAAGCACAGAAGGTCGAAGCAGTACATGCACAGAGTGATGCTATGTAATAGTTCCTGAATCCTAAGATAATAATGTATTTTTTCTTTTAAAAAAGTTTCTAGAGTAACAAATTCATTTCCTGGCAAATGTGATTTAACATTCATTTTTTTTTTCTGTAGAGATCGAGGTTCAGCTTGAACACCTATTCAAATCAGTTAATTTTTACCTTAAATTCAGTAGTTGGATTTCTGTAAAGGATTGTCTCTCATAATAAACCTGAATTTTCGTGTGCTCTCTGGGAAGTGAGGACTTTTTTATTCTGCATATATCTAAAAATTTGGAAGATATTTTCTGTAAGAGTCTGTATATCCACAGCTGTGCCTAGCTTAGTATTTTCTTTTCTTCTTACGCGTTTTTAAAGGTATTTTGTGTAGAAAAATACATGATGCACTATCTTGAGATTTTTTTTTTTTTAATTGATGGAAGAAGATACATAGTAGAGGTAAACTGGTGCTTTGGCCTCTATGTCAATACTTGCTAAAGTTATTATTAACTGGTTAGCTTTTGATTCAGGATAAAACCTCATTTGCTCAGTGAGCAAATTCAGTCAGATCTACGTAGTCCAGTTGAGATCAGGTCTCTGCTGTGTTGGACATTGTTTCTACCTGTGTTTGTAAGTCCTCACCCCATGGCATTTATAAATACCAATAAATTTGGAATGGTTTTGATAGGGGGAAGGAATTGGAGAGCAACTCTATCTGGAAAAGGCTTGTAAGGAAGCCCAACAGACCTAGAAGTTCAGTTCGCGGTGGTTATCAAATGGGGCTGACATTCAGCATCACTGACATTCAAAACTGCTGACACGAGGCTTTTTATGTTCTCTTAGAGATTGTCATTCAGGTATTTACAAAGTGTTTTGTAATCGAATTCAAATAGAATACAGCCAGACTTGAAGAAAGTTCCTATGTTGAAGGGAAAAATACCTCTTATATTTATAGTTGAGTTTTTTTTTTAAAAAATCTTGAGAATTAGGATATTCTTGCTTGTTAGCTTTGTTAATGAAACTGTTGTAGTAGTTTTAATTCATAGTTGGAAAGATTTTTTTTTTTTTAAAGATATTTTTTCTAAAAGCCTGAAGGCAAGACTATTTCCCGTGCTCTTTATGTACATGATACGTATAGGCTCAACTCCAGAGTTGTGAGTTTTGTAGCTGAGAATTTGTCCTACTGAACCTGCTGACTTGAGAAGGGAAGGAGTCCCCTATTAGTGCTGCAGGCATAACATTTTTTTTTTGTGAATGTGGGAGGCACAGCAATGAGACTTGCACTAGATTTGTGTGATCTCTGCTCTTTTGTGTCTACCCGCATCTTGTCAAGAGGCTCACTGAGGAAGATGAAGTACTTCTTTATAATGGGGGTTTCCTAAGGTATTTTCGTTGGTGCTGTTGTGTGATAGGGATTCATTTAATGACTTGAATGACTTGAGCTCCAAGGCAAGCTAGAATTCAGCATTATATTAATTTTGTACTTCTATATATTAGTTTCAATACATATACCATTATCTTCATTTATGACCATTAGCTACATAACTATCGTACCTGACTTGTTTTCCAGTAATTTGGGATTAGACTTGGAATTATTTTTTATGCCTCATTTCTGCTTTTAATTTCTATATGATGATAGTGTGATTATGTAGAAGACTAATGGTTGTCACGGTGCCTTCTAAATTTTTATATGGTCATAGCATTCCTGGAACAGGAACTAAGCTTAGCTTCTTCATCAAATAATTCTGATATTAATTGGACTTTAAACAGAGACTTAAAGCCAGTTTGTCATTTAAGATGTTCATCTGTATCATTTCTGAGTCACTGAAATATTAATGTTGATAAGAAAGTTAACTTCAGTTTATTAGTAAGCCAGTGCCTTCAGATATGGAAATATAGCTGATTCAAGAGGCGTATACTGATGACTGTAGTAAGTGAATAATACTATTCATTTTGCTTTGCTGCTCTTTGAACAGGTAATATGTTCTGTGTAAACCTTCTTATGTATCTTTCAGTGAGTATGGTGGAGAGACTTCACAAGGACCAGCATATGGCCCCACAAGTCATTCTACAGCAGCTTCCTCTAGTCCCTCCTCATCCTCAGCGTTTCGCCATGTAGTGCCATCTAGACAAATAGTGGAAAGACAACCTCGAATGCTTGACTTCAGGGTTGAGTACAGAGACAGAAATGTGGATGTAGTACTTGAAGACAGCTCCACAGTTGGTAAGGATTTGTAAAAATGAAATGCAAACTGTTGTGGTAAATCTTAGAACAAAAACCAACGAAAACCTCCCAAAACTGCAAGCCTCCAAAAAAAAACCTCAAAAAATTTCCCCCACGAAACCCAGCTACCACAGATAATAATCATTTACAAATCTCTTTGCAGCTTTAAAAAACCAGTCATTTCACTAACCCATTGTAAAGGATCTAACAAAAATTTATTTTGAAATCTAGTGGTTTTATGGCTTTGCTTAAGAAACAAAGCTAGATTATTGATTAAATTAAGATGTGAAAGTGTAATTAGGGCTGGGATTGGTGTGGATGTGATCTACGGATGAGCAGATGATTTTGACATTTTGGACGTTTGTAGCATCATGTCTTCCCGTATAGGATTAGTGACAAGATTCATAGGGATTCTGTCTGGACTCAAGATAATCATTGCATTCTTCTTTTTCTAATTTTTATTTGACTATTCTGGGAAAATTAATTGCTTTTATGTGATTCTTTTCACTGTCTTTGTGCTAAAACTGATGTATTTTATTATAGTAAGTTACAAGTGCACTGTTGTTTACAGTGCAGAGTATATTATTTTTGACATTTCTCAAAGAGGGAGTTAATTTATTTTACTACAGAAAAACAGTATTTGTTTTTTTGAAGAAATATGCAGATCAAAACAAGGAACTAAACGAGAAATAGTGTGTTCCAAATCTGCTGAGCTTCAGTCTTATGTCTGTGATAAAACTTCGAAATTGAAACGTTTGATTCTTATTCAAGTTGTCTCAGTGTTTTATCTGGTATTGAATGGTGCCACCTAGTGGTGATTAGTTTGAATTATTGATTATTATCGCACTTTTTCCTATTAGTGGAAAGCAGATATGAAAATCTGACCAAATCAGAGTTTTGCACCTGTGCTTTTTTTTTTTTCTTTCTTATTAACTTCTTGCAAGTATAAATGATTAAGCTAGAAGGCAAAGGCAATTGCTGGAGCTCTTCAAGTTGACAGATAACACCAAATCAGAGAAAGAGTATTCTAGAGGGAGGAACTGCTATTGAGGGGGCCTGGACAGGCTAGGGAAACAGGCTGATAGGAACCTCATGAAATTCAACAAAAGCGAATGTGAAGTCTTGCACCTGGGAATGGATAATCTCATTTTATCCTGGGGAGGAACAGCCAGAAAGCAGCTCTGCAGAGGAGCTGTGCAGCCTTGCAGGGAAGAGCCTCTCACACCTGGGATGTATTAGCATGATTGTGGCCAGCTGATCAAGGGAAGTCATGATTCCCTTCTCAACTGCTGAGAACTCAGCACTTCTCAGACAGCATCTGGAGCATGGTGTTTAATTTTGAGCTCCCCAGTACAGGAAAGATACTGCCTTGCTGGAAAGAGTCCAGTAGAGACCACCAGGATAGTCATGGGACTGGAGCACATGTTACATAGGAGGGGAGACTGAGAGAATGGGATTAGCTGGAAAAGAGGGGAGATTTTACTGCTGTCTACACCTACCTGTAGGGTCCTGAGGTACCTTCCAGCCTAAATTTCAGGGACAAGAAGAGTGCCAAAATGTCTAAAACACTGGAAAGGCTTCTGGAGTAGTAAAGCTGTATGGACACTCAAGCTCTGTATGTCAGGACCATTCATAATGAAATTGGGTATCAAAAATACACCTCATTCATTGCCATCAAAATGAATTGCTTTGGATGGTGTGGAACTAGCATGCACAGGGTAGCACCGATTAAATATGTTCACTATCCAGGTTGTCAAATCCTCATGTAATTCATTTAAATTTGTCTGATGCGATTTTTAACCTTGTTTGTTCTTTACTGTTTGAAAGGTGTGTTATTAGGGTCACTAAACTATAACTAGTTTTCATCATGATTTTTTTTTCCCTTGCTCATATTTTTAACTGTAATTCAGTATTCTTTGAAATCAGGTGGTAAATGCCTGTGTTTTTATATGTGGTTTTCTTTATTTCCTTTATTTTCTCTTCAGGAGAGATAAAACGTATTCTAGAAAATGAACTTCAGATTCCTGCATCTAAAATGCTGTTAAAAGGGTGGAAGACTGGAGATGTAGACGATAGTGTAAGTTTTCAGCTGTGTTTTCAGTTAACTGCTTTCAGTACTTCAAACTGAACATCTGTGGGTGGGGAGTACAATGCAAGAATTGTGAGTTTCTGACAGTGTTACATATCTTGCATGAAAGTAACACAAGAAATCAGGACCAAAATATTGCCAAGAAAAAAAATATAAGTCACTGTTGTTAGTATTTTTTTTTAATATACTGTATGGCACACCTACAGGAGGGAGGTTACTAAATTAACAGTAAGTGTATTTTGAAACAAAATATTGGTTTGTATTTTAAGTAGGAGTTAGTTAAAAATGATAAATAAACTGTAATATGTCAAAATCACCAAATGCTTTATACTTATGGAGGTTTTTTTTCTTTTTCTTTTTCCTTCCCCTCAGACTGTTTTAAAAACTCTACATTTGCCAAAAAATAATAGTCTGTATGTTCTAACACCTGACCTGCCTCCTTCTTCCTCGAGTCATTCTGGGTAAGTGTTTTGGCTGTGTGTGTGTGATTCTTATATGAAGCTGCATGTATCCTTACAGGAACCAACACTGAGTAAATACAAAACACTTTTACTGCTCTAAGACACACTAATGTAAACCCCGAGATTAAGAAACCTCAACACCTAATTCTTGAAAAGAACATTGTTAATAAAAAGTCTTTTTTCTTAAATCAACCTTGGTGTGGTACATTTTCTGCTTGGGCACAAATATACTCCCTAGACACAAATGTAATTAATGTGGAAATTAAAGCTGGTCCTCGTATCTTATTCTAATAAATTGGTTCATATAATGTAAACATATTATAGTAATTGTAATGTAAATGTACATTGCCATAATAAATAATGTATATATACATTACAAAAACTAATAATAATGTAATAAAGCGTATACTAGTCATTAGCAACGTATCAGAATTTTCTTAAATTTTATTACATTATATTATCATATCTTCTTGGACTCGTTAAATGTAGGTAGGTTGAGCAATTAATTTCCTTTAACTGAGTAGGATATCTTTATTACTGTTTTAAATACTCAAAAACTAACTGCGAGTGTTCATATGTCAGTGAACATTGCTAGGTTTTGAAAATGAATGATTATTTTCCCCAAAAGGAATTCCTTACTGCCATAAAATAATGAGCAATTTCTTTGCTTTCATTACGATGGCTTTTTCTCTCCTGTCCTTTCTCTGAGTTCCTACCAGTAAAACACTAATTTTATTACTAAACCGCTAGGGGGTGCACAGTAGTTGAGTCAAAGTGTAGTTATATGCCTAAAAAGTCAAGTAAGTGAAGAAGATTGAATTTAGAACAAAATTCTTAGACTAGATTGCATTCAAGTTGTCCAAAGTGGAAATTTTTCTTCTGCTGTTGTAGCTTGATAGTAGACTATTCTACAACTGCAGTCGTATTACTGATGAAAGAAAGAAATTTCCTAATGACTACAGCTACTCCAGATTTTGCTAAATGTAACTTATATGTGTATATATTCCATAGAGGAAGTGAAAATTCTGGTTTGAATTGAAAAAGACAAAGGCATTAGGAGAGGGAATAGTGGTAATGGAGCAGAGAGGGCAGAGTGATCCTGAGCTGTGCAGTGTCCTGTGCGTGCTCTGTAATAGCAAGAACTGTGGTTGCACATGAGGACTATAAGCTAATCTATATAAGCAGCTAATTGAACAACAGTGGAAATACTGTGGACAAGCACTGTAGATGCTAGTTGGTTTTTAGAAGTTATTATTATTTTAAAATTCATCTTCAATTTCAAAGTTTTCTATCAACGTTTTTAATTCGTCTTTAAGGAAATGTGGCTGTGAAATGTGCTTTCTATTTCATTCAAATAAATCATTTAACAACAACAAAGGAAAAACATTTAAAAAGATTTATTGGGCTTTTTTTTGTTGGATGAAGAGTTTAAAAGAAGTTTGTACTTTCTGGTAAAATCAAAGTAGTTGTTGCCATTATTTTAGTTTATACTTGTTTCACAGTAGAGATTAATTCTGGATGTTCTTAACATAAATTTGGTAGCTTTGGGATAGCAAATGATGATTAATTAGTGGCTACTTGAACAAGGATGATTTGAAGGCTAGATCATCTCCCTGAAGTCATAAATTCTAGATGAAAGGGGGAGACTTGCCTCCAATTAAAGCATGAATGCAGATCAAAACACATCTAATTGAAGCAATGTACCAAACCCAGTTACACTGTTCACTGCCAACTGTTAGGTCAGGTATTACTTAGATTAGTTTGTTACCCACAGTTTTTGAAAGCATGATGCTAACATCTATTATTAATGGATGTTAAGGAACTTTGCTTCCTATTTTGTGAGTTCATCTGCTGTTTTCTTCAAATGCCTTCTGTTTTGAACTAAATAGTAATGATTTGGGTATCACCAGAATGTGATATCTGAAAGGCCTGAGCTTTCAATACATGTTTTTTAATGCATATGCCCTTCTTAAAAGGAGTAATCTGATCACAGCTCTATAAACTCTTAACTTTGTTCCTGTTCTTGACTCTGGGAGAGAACAGTGTCTGAAGCATCATTTTCCATCTCATTGGTATCCAGGCATTGAGAGTTATTGGGGCAAACTGGATGCACTTAACCCAGAACTGACCTAAGCAAGCAGTGCAATACAGCAAAGTGATCCTGCAGGTTATACAAGCAAAACTGCTGGGGTATCTTCCTTCATCAGCAGCATACCTAAAGATTTTATAGGTTGTGGAAACTCAGTAACTTTCTCCCACCTGCTAATAAATGGAGGTGTAAAGATGAAGTTTAAACGTGAGTTACTGCTTGCAGGTTTGAACGTTCCTCTTGTACAACAGCAGTTAGCAAAACCAAACTTATTGCTCTGACCTTGAGAGTAGTGGCAACGTGTAGCTGAAAGAAAACCTGATTTCAGGTGAGTTCCTGCTTGAGCCCAAGAGCTGTGGTAGCTCCATACTCTTCCTCTGTGCACCTGGGGACCTTCCCTGCTCAGCCACTCAGTGCTTCCAGTTCCTGCCATGCATTCATGCATTTCCTAGTATGTGCCTCTTTTTCCTGCATATGTAGGCAGCGTGCCCTGCCTCTGGTGTCCAGCACGTAGGCAGGACAGGAGGCGTCATACGCTGTAGGGAGTGATGTGATCATTGACCAGAGGTTAGCTAAGTGGAATATAAAAATATTAGCCTTGTATCACAGCTTCTTACCGAAGTTACTAAGTTAGGAATCTTTCCTGTACTCAGCTGTTGATTTTATTTTCACTTAGTTTTGGAGTCTTCTTCTCTGGAGATCTTCCAAACCCTCCTGATGCCACCCTGTGCCACGTGTTCTAGATGTCCCTGCTGGAGCAGCGGGGTTGGACTAGATGATCCCTAGAGGTCCCTTCCAACCTCAGCGGTTCTGTGATTCTGTGTGATTCTGTGAGACCTTTATAACTGCCAGGTTACCTTGAAACTAATGAGTATGTTCAAAAGTTACTGGATGGGATGGGTGAGTGGAGAAAAACATGATTTCCTTTGAAAAGCAGCCTTAAAAGGGAAGATGCTGAAGAATGTCCATCAGTTAGTTGTCTAAGGAGAGAAATCCCTGCTCCCCAAAGCAGCTGCTTTGCTGGATTAGAATCCTTTCCACTTCCCTATAGCGGCCTTTATTGCCTCGGGTGCTTCTTGAAAGCCAGATACCCTGCTCAGGAAGAGGCTTGGGAGCGTGAGATTGGCAGGTGGGAAGGCTGGCACGTGCTTTGGACACGTTCACATTACTCCCTTTCATCTTGCATGTTCTGGGAGACTGTTTTAATTGTCCCTTGAATGGATATGACTGGGCCTTTGCTAACAATTAAAAGCAATTTGATGGAGTGTGCATCTTGGAGATGATTACAAATAATATATTAGAATTGTAAATTATATAAGAAATATAATAATCTGTGTGGATAGGAATCAAAAAAAAATCTTTTGAGTAATGGGCCCCTCTTTTGCTGAGCGTGTGTTTTTTAGATCCTTGCAGAGCGGTGGAGGCTGACATGGTGTCTTGGTGTATGTTATCAACTGTAGCAGAGTGTTAATGAAGAACGATGTAACCTGCAACTGCAATTATTAGTATTATCTGTTTAGCTGGACAGGAGCAGTGCCTTGCTTTAGTTACTTTGAAAACACCAATAAGAATGGTAAGATTAGTGTTTTATTTTCACATCTGCTCGTGAGACAGTTTAAAAATCCTGAAGTTTAAAATGCAATAGAAAGTAAACAAAAGGGCTCCTGCTCATTTACATGTTAGCCAGATTTGCTAACTGATTGCTGTTTGAACCTAATCTACCATCTCCTGCTGCATTAGCTACAACAAACATTACATTTACATACTGATTTCTTATTTTGTTTTAATGTAAATAATCTGTAATTACAGTAAATTTGGACTTCTGTTGACATGAGCTTGTATAAATCTGTAAGTTTAAAATGGAAATGTTAATTACTTTGTGTCATACCTACTTATATAAAATCCTGAGGTTTTTTTTGGAGAAATCTCCTTGTCACTGAAGAAGATATTTGATAAATTTTATATTATTCACTATAATTTTATAGTGAATGTGTTTCAAAAAAAATTACAGAACTGAAATAAAGAGTGCTTGCTGATCATTGATTAAGGATATTTTCTTAGTATCATAGTTAAAAATATCTCTAAAATTTCAAAGGATAATGCAATTGAAAGGTTGTGTGTCAAAAGTCAAACCATTAAGGCAGTACTTAACAATGAATTCAGCTGAACAATTTTATGTATTAAGTAAGTGTTACAGAGCAGTAGAAAACTAGTAGATTGGAAGCTGAAAATATAGGAAGTATCAATATTAATACTATCTTGCTTTAGCATAACATAAATTACAGAACTGAAATAAAGAGTGCTTGCTGATCATTGATTAAGGATATTTTCTTAGTATCATAGTTAAAAATATCTCTAAAATTTCAAAGGATAGTGCAATTGAAAGGTTGTGTGTCAAAAGTCAAACCATTAAGGCAGTACTTAACAATGAATTCAGCTGAACAATTTTATGTATTAAGTTCTACAGAGCAGTAGAAAACTAGTAAGATTGGAAGCTGAAAATATAAGAAGTATCAATATTAATACCATCTTGCCTTAGCATAACAAACCAATTTGACAGCTGCTATCCCATTAAGATGAGCATTTTTTGCAGTTGCACATTTTGGGTTTCTGTTGTAAATTTAGAAGAATTGTAGTGCAACTGAGTTTCAAGAAGCAAATTCTTGAAACTTTTGCTGCCAAAAATTAAGTTTTAAAGAATACTTTTGTTCTCATTTTGTAGAATTTCAGCCTGTGTTGAATCCTAGTTCATCACTCAGATTTTTAGCGGAGTCTTGGCAGTGTGGTAATGCTGATAACACTGCTATATTTGTGATCCATGGGAAATCCTAAGCTGATTTCTCCCTTGCTAGAAATGGTTGGTGTGGTGACTGTGCTCAGGTCGGGCCTCTTTGATTTGTGCTCAGACTTGGTGCTTTCTTGATGGAATCGAGGTTCTTCCTGCTATGGAAGGTTGGTGCCCAAAAATATCATCGAGTTCCCTTGTCTTCTGTGCTGGGTAGTGAAGGTATAAGCATTCAGCTGAGGAAAGGAAGTGTAATGGCCAAGTGCAACCTACAGACAAGTGCTCTTGAAATGCGGGAATTGCAGTAAGGACACACGGTGCTGATGAATCATCTCCTTTAATCCTGTGTCTGGAATTTGCCCCAAGCCCCCATTAAATAATCCTTAGATGAGATGGCACCACTGGTCCCCGTTGCATGGAGGAGTATTGCTGCCCCTAAGGTGTCACGGGCATGGACTGCCCTTCCCGTGCACCAGCAGCTCCTCTTCCTCCTCCTCTCGCCTCCCCTTCCCTGTGGTTCATGTCCTGGGGCGCGGGCAGTGCAAAGTTCTGGTCGGGGAGGGCAAAGGATTGGGTCTGTTGACCATTGTATTTCTGGGTAAACTTCATCCTGCGCCTATTTCTTCTTCTCCTTCTAGAGAAAAGATGAATAATTGGTCATACATTTTAATAAGCAACAATTTCAAAAACAAATTTTTCCTTTTTTTTAAAAAACCCTTATTTTTGGACAAGTCTTTAATTGCATTTGGCTGTGAATATATACTGAGAATATGCTTGTTCTCAGAAAAGGGAATATTTTGTGCTGCATTTCCATTTAAATTCTCCTTGTTTAAATTCAGATCTTCATAATCAATTTTCATAATCCATTGTGTGGATTTCTGTTAGCTGCAACATCCCTGCATCCTCCCTTTGCTTCTCTTTTCTGAGATGTTGTCCTTGTGACCTGTGAGACACCTGATTGGTGTCTCACATAAAAAGCGGTTTTTGTGGACTGAGATGCTGTAGTTCATACTGTCACTCACATTTTCAGGACTGGGTCTCTCATCTTTTGCAGAACAGAGCAGTAGTATTGGTAGTAGAATGGTGGGGTTTTTTTGTGGTTTCTTTTTTAATCCATGATATCATAGGATCATTGTTCTAAGATGGATACTAAAGCTTCACTATTTGAGGGGAAAAAAAAATCATAGGAAGTCATGTGAGCTACTACGCTAGATCTTCTTGAGGACAAAAATCCATATATCATGGATTTTTACTTTAGAATTTTAATATTATCCTTATTTGGTAATGAAGGTGCTTGGTAATTAAGAAAAAAAAATAAATATTTAACATCAAGATTTTACAGTCTAACCACAATTCGTTTCAGTATGAGAAGTAAAATATTCACTTGACCGTTCAGGACTATTTTTTGTCTTTAAAAGGATTGTTAATTAATTTTCAAGTTTTCTAGCCTTTTATAAGAGTTTGTGACAAGGGCAACTAAGTTCACATTAAGCATGGGTTACTTAGTTCAGTTGCATGACGGTGTCTGTCATATATTTGAACTAACCACAAATGAACTTTATCCTCCATGTTACAAAAATGTAAAAGAAAAACAGCACTTTGTGGTTTTGTAGTATGTGATTATTATGTTTAAGATGTCACAGAATCCATATTATGTTGCTGAGAGATGATATTTTTATCAGGTAATTTTTCTTGAGGTCTGTCAGGAAATGGTGCTTCTCTTGCTAAAGCATCCAGTGAGTATTACATGAATTCCTTAACATCTGAGTAGCAAAACTGCAGACCAGTAATTCCAGCAGAAGAAAAATTAACATATTTGGACTCAAATAGTCTAAAAGTCTTTGTCGTCGCCTTGTATGTCAAGATGCAGCTGGGTTCATCTGCATGAAGGTCCAAACAGAATTTGTCCTTGGAGAAGCAGTGCTGGAGTGAATCAGTAGTTCGCAACACTGAAGTTCTAAAGGAAAAAGTTTATCATTCCCGTTTGTATATTCTTAAAAAAGACAGAATAAATCCAATTTAATTACTTTTTCCACTAAACTGGTCAAATATACATAAATTTTAGAATGGTAGTAAGCTCTGTTATAAAGTTGCAGTTTTGTGACCTATACGTAAGAATGGATACAGCTGTAATAACCCTGTTTATAATACAAGTCCTATCTTCTATTTTGAAAAGTAGTTTATTACAATTCTGTTTCTAATTAAGTAAACAGGATGCTTTTCTAATGTCTAGATCTTTTGTTACCAGGAAAATCATAAAAGACAAGTTTTATGTGGCAACATGACCATATAGTTGACCTGTTTAATCTTCATCTTAAGAGTTTTTCCTCCATGGAAATTGTTAAGGATATTTTAATGCAGATTTAAAAACAAAACAAACAAAAAACCAGAACTTTGTTCTCTAAATGCACAGTACCCAGAAGAGAAACTTTGTGGTTATTTTCCCATTCCTACTTAGCTGTGTTTATGTGCTTTGAATGAAGCTAACGCAAGGATTTCAGTTTGGTTTATGCTTCAGATAGGCCCAGCGAAGTAAGAGCATTCTCTGCCTTGTTGTGCTTCCCATCAGTTTTTAATGTGTGTTGTAGCTTGATACTTTGTTTGGTCACCAATATGCTTACAGGCCTGGTGTTAATGGCGTTGTGAGTGCTAAATATACCTGACGTTTGTGATGATAATGTGATTCTCTCAATTTTGGAAGTACTTAACGTGAGAAGAGCTTTGAAGGCCGCAGTCACCTTATTAAGGAGGGAGTTCAAGAATGGCCTTGGGTCCTTCTCAGCAGGCTTTCTTGCATTTAAGAGTGAAAAGAGAGATGATAATGTTGTGCCTGGACTTGTCCATGTAGAGTTTAGGGTACCCTGGGGTTTTCGCATGTAGCTGTAAAACAAGCTGCAACATGCTTATCCCTGATTTTCTTGTTTTTCTTTCAACCATTTCAGGGCCCTGCAGGAGTCATTAAATCAAAACTTCATGCTGATCGTCACCCATCGAGAAGCCCAGCGGGAGTACAACCTCAACTTCTCAGGAAGCAGTACCATCCAGGAGGTGAGTTCCCATTCCCAGCTGAAGAATCCAGGTAGCTCATTACAGCTAATGGCAGCCCTGCTAAAGAGGCCTTACGCAGTCTTGCTGGAAAGCATTTTAATGCTCAGTTTTTGGTTTCATCAACATGGATCATCAGGATTGCTATAAATTAATTAAAGGACTTGACCTAAAAAAAAAAAAAGGCTTAATAAATCTTACAGAAAAGATGTTTCTTTTTCCATTGCAATGTTGCTTATTGGGTTAAGAATGATAAGGAAAGGCGGTTATTTGGTTATTCAGATTGGTTTATTTTTAAGTCCTTTGAAGCTTCCACTGCTTTGCTTTCTTTTTAGCAGCCCCAGCTCCCTTTTGTAAGCAGCTCGACCACTGATTCTTGCTGGCTTGGGAACCAGGTGGTTTCTTTGTACGATGCTGCCCGTGCCGTTCTGCGCAGTGGCCAGCAAGGGGTGGTGTTGTAGAGAGCTTGTCAGAACCAAGTCCTGCAGGAATTAATGTCTCTCATGAAATCTGGACCCTCCGGTTTTAGAACAAGCAGTCCTTGTGTATTTTTCTCTTTCTTAAAAGAAATATTGTTGTCTAATGCTTCACAGTATCTGATGTATTAGTCAGATATTTCTTTTCCAAACAATGCAGTAACATTGGGGCTATACGAAAACTGAAGAAACCTGACAATCTAGAAATTTGAAGTTTTGGAATTTGCATTGCAAAATATTAAGAATAAATGTTTGCTTTTCAAATTAAATACATGTTTGCTATTGGTCTGACACTTCTTTCAGTCAGTCTTTCAGGGTAGAACAGATCTTATTGAAATCTTTCCTGTGATGTGGTGACATTGTAAATAGGGTTATTTTAGGTTCTGTAATATTAACTGTAGGAGTAATAGCCATCACAGCAATGAAAAATGGCCATAAACTATTTTTGTTATGATCCTTGTTATTCTTAAGATCTAACTTCTGATTTTGCTCTGTACAAAAGTTTGGGTTTTTTTTTTCATATTTAAACTCTATCTTTTCTTTTTTTTGAAACTGTTACTTTTTAATATAAGTAAATGGACACTATTATGTTTGTGTGATTTTGAGGGGCTAAGCTTTGACTGTTTTAAAATTAAAAATAATTTACAGACTTAATGAAAATAAGTGATTATAATTGTATATATTTTTTATTTTTTAAAAATTACGAGTTGCTAAAAGAAAATAGTTACATATTGCCTGCTTGTTTTTACGTATGTAATATCAATTACTATTTTGCTGGAGAGTCTTAAAGGAACCAGAAAGGTGGTACATTGGAATTTATCTTTGCATGCACTGAAGTCATCTTATTTCTTGGCAGTTACAGGTTATAGTCAACCTGTCACATACCAAATCAATTTAAAAATGAGTGGATTATTTTCCCTCTTAAACAACTGAACGCAAAAATCAAACACACAAAAAAAACCCAAGTACAAAAACCCAAACTCTTCCACCCGTGACCAAATAAATGCTAGCATCAAACCTCAGTTTGCCTTTACCTCTTCGAAATAAATATTACATCCAATACAGAGTATGAAATTACTAAGATGGGAAGCTATAATGGCAAAAAGATCCCTGGAGCTGCTCACGGCTGTTGATGCTGAGCAGGTGAACTTGTCTGTCTGCAAAAATCTCACCGAAATCACTGGGGACTTGGTGGAGGTAGAAGGGACAGCGACCACTTCCCTAATTATGGAAAACAGGCACTGTTTCGTATGTTAACTCCCTAATGGCTTTTTATTTATTTTTTTTTCTTTTAGCATAGGTTGAGCATTGTAACAAAAGATCTTTGATCATCTGCTAGTTGCTTTGTGTGATTTGGAGGAATCAATAATACTTTCTTTCTTGCTTCTCCCTGTCTCTTACCTCTCCAGAGACTACTAGAATTTTTATTCTCTCTCTCTTGTTCACACTTTTACAAATTAATAGTTTACTTTCCTTCTGGTGTGTTTTTGTGGTAGTGAAGCTTTATGCCAGTTGCACTTGCCAACCACAAGAGGGCAGGAAGGACTATTCAATTATTACCTAAGTGCCAGTCAGTGTTTTCAAATTAGCTTCTGGTATATTAACAAAAAGGAGTATAATGGCCAAGTTATTGTTTGATTTACAGATAATTGGCATATTGCAGGGAGGAGACTTAATTTCACCCTTTTAAATTAAACAGGGAGATTTAAAAAGACATAAAATATTCATTAATGTTCAGTGATTATAAAGCAGTGGCATATATTTATTCTACCTTTATTACTGTTTCGATGGGAAAATACTGCAAATATTTCAGAAATCGAGTTGGCCATACTGACAAGTTGAAATGTTTAAGCAGTGTTAATGCAATCTGCTCACATGTTCTATTCTATGCAAAAAGATTCAAAATGACTACATCAATTATTAAAAGAAATATTTAAAATTCTATCAATGTTCCATTGCTTGCCACAGTTGAGTAAAACTGTCTCCTCGGGGCCAGTTGTTTGGTTTGTTGCTACTATTAGTGCAGCAAATTTTAAGGAATAAAAAATATTTATTTTACAAATATTTCTGGCAAAACCAAAACAAAAAACTTGCAGAGTAGTCATAAATATTGTGCAATGGTTTATGTGAAATCCAGTGAGCTCTTTGCTGGGTTTTAATAAACTACTGTTGCTTCAGTTCTGTTTTCTTCTTTCTTTGTTTAGAATGTATGCTCCAAATGATATCTGGATGAACTGTTATTAAAAAAAAAAAAAAAGTCCTGCTATTTTGAATAGAATCCAGTAGAAAATTAGCAACCATTTTGCTCAGGTCTAGTTCCACAAATTCTCACATATAAATTCCATAGTTGGATTTTGGGTGACACACGAAAGTGCTTTTATGACATGTTTTCTCCAAGTCTTGAACCGTTGACACATTAAGATTTAATTTTTAAGTTAAACTATAACTTACTCTCAGTTATAGTCATATAGGATATGCAACCTATTAATGAATCTTAGGAAATGAGATTTTTAAAAAATGTAAATTGTCCAAACATTCTTAGTCTTGGATTTTTATTTATCTATCTACTGATTTTTTTTATTTATGTTTTTTACGTTAGTTGCGTGGAGGAGTTGTTAATTTGGGAAGTTCATGTTAACATGTTGGCCTAAATTGCAACTTAATCTGTGTCACAGTTTTCTGACATCTGTTTGTTCTTGTAAAATTGCAGTATTAAATTAATTCTGGGCAGATACTGTTCTGGGAAGAAAATCGTGGTTATTTTTTTTTCCATGATCTGTATTTTAAAGTGGAAATGAGTAGGTTTTGTGCTAGTCTGTAGACTGTAAATTAATATATTTCCAGTGTACTGTATGGTTAAATAAGGACAATTTTAACAAATTGAAGTGCTAATACTTTTAAGATTAGGAGGGGAGGAGTTTTCAGTCTGAATACCTGCTCTTCATTCAACTCTGATAATTAAAAGAGGCTATGGCTAGTTGAAAGGAGAGGTGAGAGAGTGTTTTAATTTTGATTTAAGAAGATATGTGGAGAAATTTATAAGACACTTCCACTTTCAACATCGTTTGTTTCCCATCTAATTGTGTTATATCCAAGAATGAATATTTCTTCTACCTTTCATTTTTGAGAGTTGCAGTTTTATTACCTCAGAGATGAAGGGCAAGGTTTGTTGTGTTATTTATTTATTTGTTTGATTTTAATTTTTACAGGGAGGAACACTGAAGTATTTTTGTTAAAAGCGACTTTGTTCTCATTCTTTTATCCTGTTGAGAAAAACTTCTTGAATTATGTAATTTTGAAGTATAAACTTCTTGAATTTTGAAAGCTTCTTTTTTTAATTACAACAACGTGCTTCATACTTGTTGTCGCTGTAGTAAAAAACCTGGAGGAAAGAAACATTCAGAAAATTTTAGCAAATTAGCTTCCTCCATTAAAAACAAGGGGTTTGCATTTGTCTATTTTACTGACGGTCCAGTCTTTGAAGCCTCTTTTGTGATTCCTGTGGACAGGATTACAGCAGTCCTCAGTGTACACAAGCTGTAGCTATTAAAGGGTGGACAAGTTAAATATGCAGAAACCCCGGGCCCCTTGCATATCTATCTTCTTATCATATGTATCACTCATAAATAAATACATTTTTTGTAACTACTGGAGGCTCGAGTTAAAGATACTAGGTAAAACATATACCATAATTCTTAGTAAAACATAAAATCTGTGCCAAGAAGATGGGTTCCTCAATACTGTCTGCCTTTGCAGAGCTGCATCTGCTCTTTAGTCCCTTCCTGTAGCCAATTAAAGCAATCGGAGGCGAGCTGCTTCATATCTCAGTCACCGGTAGTAGGTAGTGTATTTGTGCTCCGTTCCCTGCAGACGGAGCGGCTGAGGTGGGATAAGAAAAGCAGTGTATCCAATAGCACTAGAGGCAGGAGGAGGAACTAGTAACACACAGCACTGCCCGGGGATGGCATAAACTATAAATTCTGTGTTCACAGAGACTGCTCATAGTTTGAACTCGTTTTTGCAGAATTAAGGAAAAAACTTTTTTGATAACTGCGTGATTGTGAATTCAAATATAAAATGAAAATGTATAAACACAGGCAGAAAGCTCATTTAAAAGACCTAGATAATGGCAATGCATAAATACATGTGAGTAGACGAACTCTCTGCAACATTCAGAAAATTCAATTGATGAAGGGTTTGTACATTTTTGACTTTTGGTATTTGTTCAAATATTTTCAAGCAGGTTAATATTGGGTGAGATCACCCATAGTAAAGGTCAGGCATTGACATGACAATGTGAAATTTATATATAACGTTCATTGTCTTAATATTGTAGCAAAGTAATTGCAATGGGATATACTTGTCAAAGATTAGAGCATCAATATGCCCAACTATTGTACATGCATAACAGTTTCAGAAACAGCTGTGTTGTGGCATTACTTGTTTTATTCAGATAGTTAAAAAAAATCCAATTCTTATGCTGATAATCAGTACCTTTCATTTTAATATTTGATAGGAAATGCACAA